CAAAATTATAACCACGATCTACTCGAACTGTTTCATAAAATGGACCAAATGGCCCCGGTTTTCTTACCTGAGCCCGCGAGCCACATATACGTAACGCATTTAAATACAAGAAAATGAAACAGAAATAAACGGTTGGTGTCGTATTAGAACAATAATGCACCTATGGTGGTGGTGGCGGCCGATTTGGCTCTGAAGTAGATCTTGGTAAGAAACGGATTAGATCAAAAGCTTCAAACACCTCAAAAGAGTAGATGCGAGGCGTTCACAAAACCTTCGTATCACCAAGTACAAAAAAAGATTCCGCTGAAGTGTCGAAAGAGCTACAAGTGGAGCATAAGCGACAGGTTGCTAAACCAAACAATAAGGGGCGGTTTTATAAGGTATCAATAAGATAAAAACACCAAAGGTTTTAACTAATTAATCCTTTCATCATGTTAAATAAAAGTGAATGAATAATAAACAAGACCCCAACAGCAGCACTTTACGTTCCTTATAGACCGGTCAAGCAAAATTTTAAGGTATTCAAGTATGAAACAATGCATACTTTGGTCAATTTAAAGAATCTCGACTCAAAAGGAAAGCAAGGACTTACCTTATAAGGTTACATGGGCTTAAGGGGTACCCCACAAGTTAAATTAACTAATAATTCCGGATCAGACACCTTGGCAAACCAGTGTAGTTCACTCAACTCTTAATAGATCAAATCAACATGGATATGCGGATTGTTAAAGAGCATTCCAAATGCATCAAAGGCATTAAAATGCTTAACGAAACAAAGCCCTAGGCACACGCCTGAAAAAATAGACTGATTGGGCGACCAAGGGTAAGCATGATTCATTGCAGTTCATCAAATGAGGTAAAATCAAAAGCACCTCGATGAGGTAGGGACCTCAGTAGGTGCCAGATAAGGAGCACGCAGTGATCCAAAAATGGATCAAAGGATAAGAATGCGGAAGTTAACGAATGGATCGTTAAAAGAATGCAGTTGATAGCTGCAAAGCACCAATAAGAGATCTCTCGTAGAGATTTTACGTGTCCAATCATCTGAAATCTTCAAATCATGCTCCACACGTATGCGTAAGAAAATTGTGGGGTGAAAAACCTACTTGCCGTAGATGGGAAGATTGTTGAGGTTCCAGGGGCTTTGTGCGTAGACGAGGGCCTGTCGCCTCTGCTCAGCAGAGGTGAATAGGTGCGGCGCGCGGGCTAGCTGGATTTCGGTGGGGAATCCGGAGCCTTGGTCACTGGCGTGGACGTCGGCGCCATACTCCACCACCACATCCTCTGTATATTCCTGCAGGATGCGCCAGAACTCCTGCTCGACTTCTGAGCATGGTACAGACTGTCAAAGCAAGATATAGGCGCACAAAAAACACTAGTCAATTTTACTGATCTTTGAAATTAGTTACCGGTCTGTCTGAGCATTATCAATACACAACGGTGTTCAAGTCAAGTTTTACACTCACGGTACAACCTGACGTATATGCCCTGCTTGGACCAGTGCAGTTCAGACTGCTGATCATGAAGACAGGTTTTGCGCGGGCATGAAACAATGTCTGACCATGATGGAGGGTTCTTGTGAAAATGGAAGCAGAAGAAAAACTCTCCTATGTCTACTCGTACAGAATACTTCAAGCACAGTACAGTCAGCAGTAAGACATTTGAAAGGCGCCAGTGTTTCAAAAGACAGCCAGGTATCCCTCAGTGATCCGTTAGGCCTTTATGGTTCCCCGTCTATAACACAACAGCCATTTCCGCAGACATCTGCCTGGAAGTGGAACATTTGTCTGACTGGGCGTTCTATCAGTGCGTAAAATGTTGTGAAACAGAAAATCGGGTTAATTCTGCTACAGGAACGATAAAACGCCCATTTAGAAACCTTATCACCCGATGGGTACCAAGTTGGCTTTTGTCACAGATGTGAAGTGAGGCAGGGCTTCTTGGGACAGTTTAGGCGTACCGGCGACTCTTCCCATATCTAGGATTTCCAGGAATTTGTTCAAGGTTGGGATAAGAGAGCAGATGTGCCAGGAAACCACGTTAAGAAACAATTATTGCTTCGATTCCTTGAAACGTGTCATTCCGGAAACTCAAAAGTCTCGGCGTTACTTAAACGCTCAAACGGGTGATCACGAAGTGGTATTGAAATGCTATAACAAGTGACCAAAAATTCTTTAAAATTCACTTAATGCTGATTGGTGATAATGGGAACAGGAAGGAGCCGAATGATAATTTGAGATTTAGACAAAGTTGTTATCTGTTCAACTCATAACAAAGTCAAATAACTAAACACAAGACATTTTAATGGACCGATAGATATCCTCGATTAACTTGAAATGCTGCGAATCCTAATAAGTGATAATGGAGTGGAAAAATATTTTTTTAACCAGTCCTTTGCCTGCTTCAACATTCCTTACGGACATGCCACATAAAAACAGGGACAGCTAGATGAGGAATGTGCGTGTGTGACAGCGTCCAACGTTACCATTGCTACTGGAAAACCAGATTGTCGGTTAAAAGGTCACACACACACCCCTACACAGTAGTCCGTTTCCAAATTAAAATAGTGTTTGAAATTCAGTAACGACTACTGATGTGCCAATGGAGGGGGAGAGCTAGTAAATTTGCCAAATTGTATTGAAGTGAGATTGGGCTGATATCACCGTTCAGGAGGGTACCTCTTTAGCCGAGTGCAAAGCCGCTAATGCAGTTAGGCACGTCACAATGATACCACTAACCGTATGCTGACGATGTCACAAGTGTGTGTGTATGCGTGAGTGTTTGAACATTGAACACGATAACCACTGCTTGCAACGCGGTCTCATGTAAGGATTTTATGTGGGAAGCGGTTGGATTTCATTGCAGCCTGGTGTTTGCGGAGCATTCAAATGATCTCAAGGAAAACTTGACTAAAATTCATGTTTTTAGGTACACAGAAAGAGATTATGCATGAAATTAATAGCTGACGAATTGCTCCAAAATTCTCCGTACCATTTCAAATGGGATAAAAACTGCGTCCACGGAAGGGGAAAATAAAGTGAGAGACAATGTACTCGCCTTTAAACTAAGCGTACGGATGTAAACCACATTCAGGACCGAAAAGAAGTGACAGAATAAGCTATGCCCACAAGCAGATCGGGACCGGATAAGTTGGCGTTGTTAGCGAAACGACCAAAAGACACAATTATTCCACCCGCATGGTACGGATTGCATTTCACAAACTTTTCACCTCGAAATGATCATTGAGTGGCAGTGTATACTTCTCCTCCCGAGCAAAAATGGCAACAGCGTAAGAGGCGAGACAGTTGGGCAGTCAAAAGTGACAAAGAGCAGAAAAAATCCCTAGGCTTGTGTCAACAGCCCATTCATTCAAATAATTAACACTGCAGTCCATAACATATAGCGGATCTCTCCGAACGTAGTATACAAACATTTGGTGGCTTCTATCAGAACCACATTTTTAACCGATATGCTCTGCTGTCCGACCCTTCTACAAGAGATTCCTACATCTTCCCAACTGAGTTGAACTTACTTAGTAGAGGCATTCAAATGGCCGGAAAAGGGTAGAGCCTACGACGGTGTACTAACGACAGACTGACGCACACCCTTGCCTTATGGTGTGTAAACGATCACATTTTACAAGTCATTGAAACAAGCTACGCCAAAAACGCCTCAACTTTTAGTAACCCAGAAGTTTTATTGAACGTAAATATAAAGGATGAGATTTAAAAATACCATCAATTTTATGAATCAGGAAAAAACAGCCATTTTTGAGCTTGGGTTGAAAGCCATGATATCCTCTCAAATCAGATTAAAAGACTACAGAAAACCAGTGGGAAGGAGAGTCTAGAAGTATATACTCATCCAAAATAGCTTGAAAACGTACACTGGGCTCCCTTCTGAAGTACTTAGCTTTGAAGGCGTCAGCACGGATGCCGAATTCGTAGAGAGTGTAGGACTTAGACGACTGAGGAAAGCCGAAGGAATCCATCGGGCGGGAGCAGATCGTGCGGACACACTCAGGACACTTCCACTGGTAGTGCGGCACTCCCGCCAGTGGTGGTGTGAGGCAGTAGGTGTGATAGCAAGCCTGGCATGACGACGTGGAGCAGATCAACAAGAACGCCTCGTTGTTACCCATATCACATACTCGACAGAGGTACTCGCCGCTCTGCGGGAACAATAAAAAAACAATCCACAGGGGCTGTTTGTAACCACTCTTCCTGAGTGCATCAGATATGATGTCTTGGGTATGCCTTCTGGGAAGATTGTTTGTCCAGATGAACAGGTTGGTTTCTAATGCTGAAAAGCATCAGCTTTGGATGAATGAGTATAAAGAACAAGCAAGAAAACAACACCAGATGTTCTCTACATCTGGATTGCAACCAGTAACGGAGCGAAACGAGCATTGAAATAATTATGTGAAAAGGCATGATCAGCAGGAAAAATATGAAGACCTGGCACCATAGTGCCAGTAAGACCGTAAGTCAGCTAGGGAGGATGGCTGAAGAGTAACAGAAATGGCGATGGATTCGAGAGGAGTGAAATCAAGATGGAAGTCCAAGGAGCTACTTCACGCCGTTTAGTTTACTAAATAATTTCGAAGTGACTGACTCGTTTTAGAACAATGTCCTAGCCACAAACGATGTCTCCTAAATATTTTAAATCAGGTTTATCAACAAAGTACATGGCGGATGAGCCCCACGAGATTTACCGCGGTCAGAGAATTTAAAGGCCTCTATTTCTAATGTATCAGTTGCAACTCATAAGGATGAATTTATCAAGTTCCACATCTAGCGACTTTTCTTCCAAATTTTGCAGTTGCAAAGACTGCCGCGACACTTGCCCCATTTTCAAATAAAATTAACTTGCCAAATTTTGAAATTGTTGAGAAGGAGGAGGACAGAAATCCGTTAAAGTAGCCAACACAAAGGATCCTCCCAAAGTGTACGTTTGACAAAACAAAGCGCGTAACCTTTTCACTGTGCAAGAGTACAAACTCAAACGTCTAAAACGGTTTTTTTGCTTTGGTAACATTAACCAGCAAATACCCGTCGTCGCGGCCACATCTTTATTGTGTTGAATATTCTGCAACTATAGCACTCCGCCTATCCTTAATGGACAAATCATGACTACTGTGACTATGAGCGGACAGTCCATTAATTTTCTAGAGCAATGAGGATGTTTTAAATGCTATTTCGTGTAAATCAGAATATGTTGGGCAAGTCTGCAGCGACTCTATTTTAGGGAGGGCGTCTGTTCAATTACTAATATCAATCACAAGGATCCTTTAAATTTCCTCACTATTTTCGTATTAGAGACCATTTCATTGGCCAATACGGAGTGCGATTTTGGTATTTAAATTGCCAGTTTATAACTGGAAAAATACATACATCACGTTCAAGTAAACACAGGCAAGGCAATTCTTAACGGGGCGAAGGAGATGCAACACTCTATAGTTAGCAAACTAGCCACACATCAAAATTAAAAAGATAAATATGTATCAATACATCGGATCGACTTTCCAACGATGCGATTACGGACGAAATATGTAACAAGAAGCATCAAATTAAGCCAAGTTCTTAAACATTTTGTTTAAGTTAGAGCAACTGTTTAGAAAAAACCAATCAAATGAGCTAAAATATGCTGACTAAATCTGATCGTCTCCACGAAAGAATAAATGCAACTGCACCACATAAAAAGCCAGCACTCGACCTACATTTTCTTGTTTAGCTTTTGCTGGAACAGCGATTTCTCCAATCGGCACTACAGTTTTAGGTCCTGCGCCGAAAAATTGGAGGTTTTTTAGCTCCTTGCTAGCCGTATAATCGATTTTCGTATCATCCTACAGGGAGTAAAAGTCCATCAATAAAGACAAATTTACCTCCTGGGCATGTAGTCGAGTCCTTTTAGTGGGAACAGATTTTACACTGCCCGGATCCGCAGGTCGTTTTCCACTTTCACCAGAAGTGGAGTGAGCAGTGATCATGAGCTCGTATTTAAGGAGGAGTTTCTCGTAGTTTGTCTTCATAGCCATAGCAAACTTCCCGCCTGGGTAGCCCAAACGCTCGGCCATTTGGGGCCAGAGTTTGGCTGAGTTCACCTTCGCGTAACCCCCAGCGTTTATCACATGTTTTTGGAGCCAGTAGATATCGAGATATTTGCCTCCAATATTGGGGATTTTAAGTTTCTCCATGCCTTGAAGACGAAAAAACTGGTAGAGCTTGCCAATGAAATCCAGCTTAAGACGCGAGTGCGCTTCGAGCTCGTAAAGCCTCTGGATCCTTGGGGTAAAACGAAAAGAGTTCACATCCACAGCAAATGGAGGATTCCAACCCTAGAACGAGAGATGAATTGCAAAAACGATTGGCAGTACCTTAGGAGGGATGATTTTACAAATGCCGGTTTTTATGCCTATGGGACGGATTTTGTCTAGATAGAGTAAGGGATCTTCGAACTCCTTGAGAGTCGGACGGAAAACGGGTGCTTCGGGGGGTGGAGTAAATTTGAAAGTTGCTTCGCACATTGAAGATAATGAAGGAATAAATGCACAATAGTAGACCAGACTAGGCTGAATAAGCCTCTAAAAGTCAAACAAAATAAGTAGTAAAGCAAAGTAGTAAAAATAAGTATTTAAATGGTTGCCTTAAAGCACTCATTATGCAGATGCGACCTCGAAAGGCCATTCACAAGCACGGACGAACTAGAACACCAGTGTAAAACCCACTAACTCTGAGGAATTCACCCACCTATGATCAACAAATTCGAAGTAAATGTCGTGAAGTGTGATTCCGTTTACAATGACAGAGGATGATATTGGCCCAAAGGAAAACAAAGGTTAAAGAAGCGTAAATAAATCAATTAGTGGTGTATGATCATTCATTACGGTATTGTATGTCATAAGCGAGTGAAAGCGAATTCGCGGTATTCTCCATGCTAGGAAATTTCAGCTATGATGAACCTACCCCAGGGATGGGCTATTCAATGCTCATAATAAATTGTTAAAAATAAAATTTAAGGTGAGAAAACACTTGCGAACTAAGAGAACAGGAATTTAGAACTATTTAGGGGTTGGTTCTCGCTAAAAAGCCCAGTGAGAGTCGCAACTTATCATACTTTTAAAAGAGAATCGCTAAACAGGAGGGAATAGCAGCGGCATCAGGAGAATTCCAAGCAAGAAAAACCCAGCAGCGACAAATCTACCATACTTATGCCGTGAAGTTCAGCAATATTTACATTCCTAGGATGCATTTTCTAGGAAAACTTAATAGATCCGGAATTACGTCAGGATGATTACTTAAAATAGCAAGACTTACTGAGATGCCCTCTAGTACTAATCAAAGGTAGGCATACACAAAAGACCAAGAAATCAGCTTTAATCAACTTTGTGACCTTGAAGAAGCCTATATTAAAATCCTGTATGCCTATAACATGGATCGGATCGTTTGGGCGTTCTGTTTGCGTAAGCGAAATAGTATCAATGAACAAGCAAATGCGTCAAGCTTGTAAGGAGCTGGAGCTAAGGCGAATATTTGGTCTTTAAAATTCCTGCATGCAGCTCTCATAAAATAGCTTATACATTTTCAGCAAAAGGTTAATAAAATGAGCATGCTAAAAATTTTTGTAATGCTTATGTTGTTTTAATGTTTTTCAGAGGAGAGGCGGGAATAGGAATCAAACATGGTGACGAGAGTTAACGTCCTACAAGACGGATAGCGGTTACGCATCCACATTCCCTGAACTCTCTGCTGGTTTTCCTTATTTACTTGCCCCAATAAACGTGTCGAAATCGAACCAGCCTGGGTGTTCCAAGTGTACAAGGGGCAGGAAAGAGGAGACCCATGGTTTCTCGTTAAAAGTAAATAAAGTAACTAACATACAAAAAAGTACAATAAACTAGTTTTTTAAATTCTGCTTGTTACGCGCATTTTTACTGCGCATTTGTTTTTATCTGTCATGTGATTGAAGTTGCCCGCCTCACCTCGAAGTGGATATTTCAAATCATGGCCGGTGTGCGTATTATCTTAGCAACGCCGTTTACGCTTGTTTATTTTTTGTTTAAGTGCTGCGTTATTTTTTCTCTTTTAGTTGCAGAAAAGTCTTCAAGAGGCAGCGACTCGTGACATTACACGAATTGAGCGCATTGGTGCCCATTCACACATACGTGGTCTTGGCCTTAACGATGAATTGGATGCTCGACAGGTCTCCCAAGGCATGGTAGGCCAGTTGAAAGCCCGCAGAGCTGCTGGTATCATTCTTGGAATGATCCGTGAGGGTAAAATTGCAGGTCGTGCTATTCTTCTTGCTGGTCCACCTGGTACTGGCAAGACTGCTATTGCCATGGGTTTGGCACAGGCTCTTGGACGTGACACACCGTTCACTGCAATGGCAGGAAGTGAAATTTACTCTCTGGAGATGAGTAAGACTGAAGCACTTACACAGGCTTTTCGCAAGTCAATCGGAATCCGTATTAAGTAAGACTCGCATCAGGTTCACTGTCGTTAAGAGAAGAAGCTGAAATCATTGAAGGTGAGGTTGTCGAAATCATGATCGATCGTCCTGCGACTGGAACTGGTGCTAAGGTTGGCAAATTAAGCATTAAAACAACCGAAATGGAGACAGTGTATGACTTAGGTCAAAAGATGATTGATTGCATCGTAAAGGAGAAGATTCAAGCCGGGTAGGTTGTGCAGCACTTCTCTTATGTGCACACGTACAGTGATGTTATCACAATTGACAAGCCCTCTGGTAAAATTACAAAATTGGGTCGCTCCTTTGCACGGGCTCGAGATTTTGATGCCACTGGAATGCAGACAAAATTTGTCCAGTGTCCTGAAGGCGAACTGCAGAAACGAAAAGAAGTTGTCCACACCGTCACCCTTCACGAAATAGATGTAATCAACAGCCGTACACAAGGTTTTCTAGCTCTTTTCAGTGGTGACACTGGAGAAATCAAATCGGAGGTACGGGATCAGATTAACGCCAAGGTTGTGGAGTGGCGCGAGGAGGGTAAAGCTGATATTGTCCCGGGTGTAAGTAGAACGCTTTCTTACCCCAAACTGAATCTAGGTCCTCTTTATTGATGAAGTTCACATGCTTGACATTGAGTGCTTTTCATTCCTCAATCGAGCTCTCGAATCCGATATGGCTCCTATCCTCATAATGGCCACAAATCGTGGAATCACGACGTGAGCTAATGTCCATGGTTTACGCATCTTTAATCTGATGATTTTTCGTTTTGAATGCAATCCTTGTAGGATTCGCGGGACCAATTACAAGAGTCCGCACGGCATCCCAATCGATTTGCTGGATCGTTTACTGATAGTGCGCACGGAGACCTACGATGAAAAGGAGATCCAAGCCATCTTGAAGATTCGATGTGAGGAGGAGGATGTCGACATTGCCGAGGACGCCCTCGTGGTGCTCACACGGATCGGGATGCAGACGTCCCTGCGCTACGCTATCCAGCTTATTACCACAGCCAGTCTTGTCTGCCGGCGTCGTAAGGTTCGCTGAGTTTCTGGTTTTGCGGCTATCATTGGACCACCTTACTCATGAATTCACCGCATTTTAGGGTATTGAGGTGAATAAAGATGATATTCGTAAGGTGTACCAACTCTTTATGGACGAAGCGCGTTCGACACTCTTCTTGAAGGAGTACCAGGATGAGTTCATGTTTAACGATCAACACTCTTCAGAGGCTGTACAACCCGCAGGTAGGTTATTGTTATTCTCTACTTGAATATATTTAAGTAGACATTAGTGCCACTTTTATTGTTTGTAGGTGATGCAGTGAATAGTACGGCATAAGCTTTCTCCTCCGCCCTTCATTCGGCACAAATTTTACGTCAGTATTCGACTTTGTTGTAACTCACTACAAATATTTAGTAATACAATTTTATAAGTGATTGTTTGAGATTTTTAAATCGTAATTTCTAGTCGGATTGTCTTGTTGAGATTTTCTGATAATCATTTACTGTGTTTACGAGCACATCCTTTAATATATTAGTTCAATGTTAACTGCAACCACTGCTTTTCGATAACGAGTTTGATAGATACGGATTTATTCACCCTAGTTTAGGCTATGTTTAGCTCTTATTGAGCTGTTCATTAACTATATTTTAGTTAATATCGGGCTGTAAAGTATCGGGGAGGCACGTAAAGAGTATTGGTATGGTGAACAGGTGTTTGATTTCTCTATCAGTCTTGGCGGTACCTCAACGCAAACCAAAGGAGGTTTTGAGAGAAGTGTGCTTGAGTAATTTTAGCTGTATTCTTGGTTTATTTCGATGCAACTAGACGAGCAGTTTGGCCTTCTTCAATCTATTCGCATTGACGTGAGGCGTACTGCTCCCGGCGGATCTGTTTCATTTTATCATTTGACTTTAGTAAAGTGTGTCACGAGCTACGCTGTGGGTGTCTGTCCTGAGGGTGTACGGTGTATTACGTGCATATGCTGTGCATAACGGCGAAGGAATTTTAGACTATAAAAACCAAAAAGCCCTTTCTCTCCCCATCTGCAGTAGGGTTGAGCGACTAGTAGCGTGGGTTGCCGTAGGCAGGGAAAATCAAGGATCCCCCAATCGCCTAGGCAGGAACCACGATAATTAGTCTACCATCTGGTACTTGGGATTTCACTAATTCTCTAAGTCCAGGTATACTAGCAGAATTTGGCTATCGTTCCGCCTAGTAACAAGAAAGTGATGCGCATCCACGGTATACTCACAGTCGTTTTGATTGGCAAAAGCTATGAACAGTCCACGCTATTCTTGCCAAGTACACTGTGGTGTTGATCACATACACTTACCTCGAGAAGCTACTACTTCGGGTAGCAGAACTGTCATCGTTTCTGATGAAATGGATTTTATTCGTGCAGACACTAGCATCCAGACCTGGAGAAGGTCAGTCATACTAGTCTTCGCCTTCAATATGGCACCAGCAAAGTCTTTTCGTGATAAAGCACCAATTTTTTAACCTATTTTAAAAAAAGGGAGTTGATGTGAGTGTAACTTGAGGATGAAATGATTGTCAAAAGGCGTTAACTTCCCTACCAGTATTACTAAGTTTCGCCTTGATTTTAAAATGAAAACTCTGAAATTGTTTGTTTTTTTCAAAAGCGCTTTAACTAGAACAAAACTCTAGTCGTAGCTGTTAGTGTTTTTCGTTTGTAATAAAGTATGTGCGAAAGTTATGGCACGCAACAGGCACATGAACGAGGAATATAAAAAAGTCCAAACCACGCTAGGTAACGATATTTACCAGTTTTCCCCTAAGGAGCTGACGCCTGTTATTGTTAATTTGCCTTCTGAAGAGTTTGTATTTTAAACTGTGACTAAAAAGAGGCAAATCTTCTTTCAACTACCGATTCTGAGGGCCTAGTATGTGACGATATTTCTTCGGTAAAGTCTTCAGAACTCAGGAACGGGGTGTGCGTATTCTTTTTTATCGCCACGGAAGTCTCCTCCACAAGGGCACTATCGGAGATTGCTTGTACCACCTATGCTCCAAGTCTCCTAGTCCTTCTCTCCGCCTGTGTCAAGGCCCTTTTTGGTGCCGTGCTGCGGAGATACAAAAGATGTAGCCTATTCCACACAAAAAAATTTGTCACCACACCTCAGATGTTTTAGGGAATGTCAAAAGTTATGCAACTTGGAAACCTAAAAAAAATGTCCTTCTCAGAGCAAGATTGTCTCGCATCTACTTTATCGCATCAAACAACCAGTCAGTTTGCGACACGAAGACAAACTGGTAATCAGCCCACGTCACGTATTTGTGACGTAGGTTTCAAATACGAAAATCGGGATATCATAAATACGCAACGCTGATACCAAACGTGCTGCATTAAGGAATACAGATGAGTTCTATAACGGCGTGGCATAGCGGCCATGCAGTCAAGTGGGAGCGGAATTTGCAGAGAATGAAGAGTCCACATGGCTAAATATGCAGTTCAAATAATTGTCTCGCTTAAAAAGCGTCAAGTACGATTTTAAAGTAGTTAAGAGTCACAGCGCGTCTTCTTACCCATAGTTTGTTTCACTGGAAAATTTAAATACTATTCGTTACCGGTTAGTAAAACCACCCGGATTTTGTGATGAAACGCTGATCGTGAGCTGTACCGCCTCAAGTCTTTTCCAGGGGAGCATACTACTCACTGACGCGCAGAAAATCTGGGCGGCTATTATCTATCTGCCGGGGCGGAATCACAAACTGCAGAGATCGCAGTATCCGCGCTCCCTTTCCGGAGCCATAATCACCAGAACGAATTAAACTGTGTCTGTTTGCATGTCCCGCAGATAGTTTCCGAGACTTTATGATAACTCCTACCAAATAAATTAAGATCCGGCTTCCGCTAGTGAACAAATGTCAACGATCGTCCAGGAAGGTGGAATGAATTTTCACTTATTGACTAAAAACAGCAGTGTTTATACATCAAAAACATTGGGAAAATGAAAAAATACAAGGTGGGACACGAAGGGATCGAGGGAGTTGACGGCTAAGCGTGCAAACCGCCGTCTTGATACTACACGCAGTGGTGATCGGCAAGAGACCCGTTTCACCCCATTATAGCCAGAGCACATGTCGTGGGCAGGCCCAATCCAATCCAAACAAGGTGGCAGATGAGAGCATTAGCAGCCATTCTTGTGAATCTTCAGTGCATGAGCTGTCAGCTCCTATACTCAGTAATCGCGATGAACGCCATCATCTCTAAACAAATAAGCCTAATCCTGCTACCGCAAACCCCCATAGTTACTGTATTTTGAAACTGTTTCCTACCACTTCAAAGAAACACATTCTTTGGAATTATCTTGAAGCAGACCGTAATTACCGGAGACCAATATTCGATAAGTTGTAAGCTGAACACGTTTTAGCCAATTTTTGTAGGTCAAAAGAATATCCAATTGCAGATAAAGAGGAATATAAACATTGCAGAAGGGAAGAGTCAATAAAACAAGCACTTGACCGTGTGTGCAAGGCTAGGAGCGGTCGAACGTTCAACGATGGTAACAGTTTCACAACAATGTTTCGGGTGAAATTCACCTTGAGTTGGCTTAGAATAAAGCCTATTGGCTGGATTTATGGCGCTGGCATTGTCTTCAGACGCTCAAAAGCAGACTTTTCTAGAGATTCTCTAAAAAAAGAACAAGAAGCCCGACTACATATAGGATAACTAGTTAGACTCCTCCTATGTTTACAGGCCTTTCTGGTTTGCAACTATGGAACAAAGCGACCTGGTCACAGCCGCAAAAAAATGAAAGGTATGATAAAGGAACGTCTCATTTTGCCTGTTTTTAGTCTCAAAAAAAGAAAATCAATCTTGGCCCAAGACTCACCTAACTCAAATGCACGTGACCGTGGTAAGAGAAAATTGCTACTGTACCTCCACCGTATGGGGGGTACAACCCACGAAAACTGAGGAGTCTGAGTGGTTGAACATGCCCCGGCACATTAGTTTTGTTTAAAGTAACGAAACGGACGATTTACGAGGTTCAGACGTTGAAGGAAGATGTGTACAATCACTGACAATTTGGAAACACATTACATGAATCCGGAATGCACAAATACGACGAAAAAATATCCACTCATGGCATCCATTCTTGGAAAGTATTTATCTAATGAACTCCACGACATGACATAGCACCCCAGCGGAAATCCTTCTTTTTGCATAGAAGTTGATGGATGTGGACCTCTTGTAGTAAATTAATCTGCTACCACCACCTGTGATTCCAGCCTCCTAGAAGCCCCTGCCTCCCACTCTTTATAGCGCCTTTAGTGATTACTTGGGCTCAGAACTAGCGGCACCGTTAGCACATCTCGTGCATTAGAAAAGAAGCCAGACTTTTCGAACTAGATACCGTTTCAAAATTTAGACGAGACATCTGCAGGGAGGTTGTCGAAACCCCAATGACAAATAGCAAAGGGTCTGATTTTAAATTCTGGAGTGAGGTCAGATTATAACGAACTGACACCCACTATGGTAGAACAGGGGGTTATGGAGATGTTTTCAAGGCTAAAAAGTAGCAGCCTACATTGAGGAGTAGCCTGAGTGCTGAAGAGCTGTAGGCTAAAGGAGGACTGACCTGAAATCTGGGTGAGCAATCTGGATGAGGGCATGAGCACGCTGACGCAGGGTCTTGCCGAAGAGGTAGGCGATCCCATACTCTGTTACGACATAGTGTACATGGGCCCGAGTGGCTACCACTGTGCTGCCACGAGCCAGGGTAGGGACAATAGCTGAGGTACCGGTTGTAGTCAGCGAGGACATGGTGATGATTGGACGACCCTTACCGTCGGAGGAGAGACTGGCTCCCCGGGTGAAGTCCAACTGACCACCCACGCCTTATTGCAAGGTAGATAAACAAAAAAACAAAGAATAGACCAAGTTATGTAAGCCTCCGTTTAGAAGAAAACATTAGCCGATATCCCAATTTTCGTTAGATCAGCGTGACAAATGTGACGTTATTTGTGAATTTATGACAACCGAGCGATTCAAGTTGTGGCACGAACAATTTAAAGCGGTAAAGCAGATGCAAGACGACCTTGATCAGAGAATGGTATCATACTGGAATAGAGTATTTGGGCTGTGGGCATAGATTTGCCTCTAAGCGTGCTTGCTGAGATTAGGTAGAAATGGAAGATTAGCATTAATCCAAGGGATGAAGTGTTGTCCACGCCAAATAAGGCTTATTGAACGCCACCTCTATTGTTTCAACACATCGAGAAAAGTAAGTACTCAACTTTGTATTTTGGGGATCAAATGCCATCAAGAGCATTCCTAAAGATCAACACCTGCTTTGTAGTCAGATATTGCATGAAAAGTAGGAGTAGAGGTGGAGTTTTGTAGGGCTTGAGAGTTCTATCAATAAGACTCGGTGTGGCTTTGCCACCAGGATCGTTCAAAGTAAACAGGGAAGCCATGTTGGACATGTTACACGCAGTAATATGTGGCAGATGGCCAAAGCGAACGTTGTAGGCTAATCCAAACACTAATGCTCAGAATGGCAGGCAACAGGAGTAGTGCGTGCATTAAACAGAGATAAATGCTGAAGTTTCCCGTGAAAGAACGCCTATAGCCTAAAGAACGCCGTGTCTACGGAAGAACTCAAGTACGGTGAGGTGCCACAATGGAGAGCTCAGCAGCTTAACAGGAAGACATTTGATTGGCGACAATTTCTCAGTGATAGCCACACGTCCTTCAAAGACGGTCCTGGAGTTGGTGACTTTTCACCCACGGCGGTCATTCACCCTGTAGGAAGCCTGATCGCCGGATAAAATACCTACCATGAAATTGTACAAGGGACAAGTCTTTTCTTGAGAGGAGCGTTAAATGGAATTATTCAAGATTGTTTGGAATTTCCAAAAGTTAGTGGAGGTGGGTGTCAGGGCAGCAGCTGTTTGATGATGGCCCAACCATGCTGACAAATTTTTCTGTATCGAAAAAAATGTAACGGAGGATTATCATACCTCGAAATATGCTTTGTATGAAATTCAAAATCCCCTGCAAAGTGGGAAGACGGGAAGGTAGGAAGGAATATCCCGTACACAGTAAGGATAATGTTGAGACATACCCAAGCTGAATGATAAGTAATGGCTATTGAACCCCAACTTATTTCTTCAACCCCGGAGTAAAGGCATAAAGAAGAACAAATCAATTATAATGGTTACATTGCGAGAACTGATTAATAGAGTTGGAGATCAGGTTAAAATAGGGTGAAACTGCGTTCAACCTCTCGACTAGATGCAAAGTAGATAGATCCTTTTTAGGGGAAATCCAATGAACACTGTCCTACTTTTTGAGGCACTGATTTAAGAATTGGCATTGAAATGTGTCTCTGCCTCATTTACCAGGGTAGCATTTCCATTTTTGTAGTATATCTTCCAGTACGATTAAGTGAGGGTAAAAGCACCGAGCATGACGCTTTATTCAATCTTATACCTGCAATAAGGCATCGTTGATGCTTAAATGAATGAATTGTGCCTTATAGATGTAAATGAGTGTGCCTGAAATTGCAGCCCCGGCCACATCGCGTCAATGATGGAAAGGAATTATGAATTACCCTATTTATAATTAAGCATACAACATAGTATATATTAAGAATCTCATAAGAGGGATCGCTTTTACAGCCTAGACATTTCATTGTTCGTATTTGATATCACCTTTCGTAATTTTTTTTCTGAGGAATTCAAGTCCAAACACCCCCACCAAAAACGTCGTTGTCCACGGACTAAGGAAATTTTTGCGTTAATCCAAACTAATCTGCTTGCGCCCACAATTTTGTGGAACTGCTTATTAAAAAAATGGAGAAACAACACTTATTACGCATTTGTGATACTGATGGCAGATGCGTCAAATAGAAAAATTGAGGGGTAAAACACAAGTTTGCTTGATATGGTAAATGACAAATACGATCCTAGCTATTCCTTCTGCTATCTTTAAATGCTAAGATAAATAGCGGTAACAGGTTTTAGTCTACTGGAAGGAGGTGAATTACAAGAGAAGGAAGCCCCAACTCCACCAATGAGGCCGTCTTAAATTACCAGCATCCTATTTTTAAATGATACATGAACAGGTTTCCGCAATTGAGGTACCTTCGGAAGGGTATATTATTGACATCAGTTTGACATTTGTGGCCTGTAGAAATGAGGACTAGAGTTGGTTTAGTATCTACGCGAACAGCCGGACGGTATTACAGACGGGACCGTTTTAGATGAAACCGCAAATAGGTGCCCTTTACTACGGCCTTTCAAACTTGGAGTGCAATCACTTGTTTTGTTTCAAGACATTACAATAATAAGCCCGTGAGTTCAAAGTTGTGGGCTATTAACAGATTTGGAAGTACAGATCAGTGATGAAAGGAAAGCGTGGAATTAAGTAACAGGTGGTTTGCGCTTGCAAAAGCAAAAGCAGGCGGAATCCACTGCTTTACGGCGTTCACTTTCGATGAAAAATTTAGAGGTCTACTTACATATTTACCGAGGGTTTGTGTTTTGGATGATAGCCTTGAACACGAGTTATAGATACGTCGAACACAAAATCAGAAGTTAGTAATCTGCCTGAGGGACTCCATCTTGAAAAAGAAACGAGACAAACGCTTTGAAGGTAGTTAGTCTCTATTAATCACTTTGACCACCAGACAAGTAAGGAAGTTTTCTTTCGGATGCTGTGAGTTAATCAGGAGAACCAGATCAGTATGATATGAAATACAGAGGATAAAATTTGAACAACATTTTTGATAAAACGACTCTACAGCCAGCGCGAGTGATACAACTCGCCTTCCACAAGAAACTCCGCAGTGAAGCCATTGTGGGTGATTATTGTATATCACCTTCACTTGCTCCAAGTCATAAACGCATTACAGCACCTTTTAGTGATGAATAGGAGGATAAATACTTAGATGAAATACAGAAGAACCTACATCTTCTTTACCGTGAAAAAGCCCAACCAATCTGTCTGTGACACAACAAGTCAAGTACTCATATTACTGGTAACAGACTTAACTAAATGAACTGCAATGCCATTTACCTGAAAGTCTTATATCATGGAGGACATTTAAGTAATTCAACAGCAACAAAGGTGGTTTTAGAATGTCAATGCATCCAACCGAAACTAGAGTACACAAGACGAAGAACAAGAAGCAGACCTACCCCAATTCAACCACTTCAACCATTGTTAATTGCTGCGTTTTAGGAAATTGTATGTTACAGAAGACTGACAAAGGTTTGTGTACTAAAATTGCTGCAAAAGACAAACTTAAGCGACTTGATATGGACGGTCAACCTAGATTAGTAGATCCAGCATGACATCAAGGAAAGGCATAACGACAATGGGCACTCATATGTATTCTGGTTGGTGGCTTACTTCCGATACGGCCATTAGTTACCCTTTGGGCTTACAGCATTCACTTTCAAAATAGGCCGTATGGTTGAAAGATCGGGGCGCCTACTAAACAGATTGGCTCTCTTGCAGTTTTAAGAGCATCACATGTTAATTAAAAGACTTTTAAGGGAAGTAATCTTTTATACGTTTATTTTAGCATTAGAAAGCAAAGAACTTTTCACCTTGCCACCTTCAAGCACTTCAATGTTTCCTCGTCTTGAACCCCAGATAAGAATGGGTCGAAATCCCTCCCAAAAAACATATACACACAAACCACAAAAGGCTAAACAGAATGCCTTGAAAAATCGCACAAAAGTTAGGCCAAAAAAGGTAACTAAAAGAGCTATTGCGGCTTTAGGCAAGGTTCCCTGAGATGGTTCGTAAAGTGCTATTGTTTATGTAGGTGGATAAAAAAAGCGTAGAAATGCGTCAGTCCATTGAGACAGGACATCGTATTGCGCTCGGCAACACTATGGCCCCATTTTGAAGTTTAAAAAAGTCACCGGAACTTCATATGATTCAAGTATACCTCCATCACGAACCAAAAACTGACTGCCAAAATTGCAGAAACATCTAATCTAATTCGTCGAGTGGGATTTTAGAGAAAGTGTAGTGAAAGAAGACTCATTACAGAAATGCCTGAAACAAATTTATTCAGGTGATGAACCCACCAATACCAAGACAAAGGTACACCACATTTATGAACATCTTCCTCTGAAATCATCATACCTTGGGATTATGGTGCCAAGAACAACTCCCAATCGTGATGGAAACCAAGCGAGGGGGTTTATCTCACAAGCAACACACTAACAGATGGGAATGGGCGTTAGGAAACACCACTCTGTTGTTCTTTACCTCCTCCATATACCTTATACAAATGGGCCGTACACGCTAGCTTGTTTGCTGACCAACTTGAGGTAGGAAACGGATTCTCTTTCCCAACATTAGACAAACGAACACAGCATTGGTGATCTCCGCATGACCAAACTACCTTGTATTAACTACCTACTATCCACCAGCCAATAACCAACATTCACCAACCATCACGCACCACAATACATCATATCACACCACTCACCTCCACTCCACTGCCAAAACAACATTCCATGCGTTAGTCCCAAGAACCTCAGACAACCAATTCTTGTGCATGTGAGTAATTGTGTGTTCACGAGTGTGTAATGCGGCGTCTAGCGCTGCTCTGCACTGCAGACCCGATTGTCCTCCATTTGGAAGCGTTCACTTCGTGAGGCACAAACAAAGCGTCTGAGGAGTCAGCTGAAAGAAAATACCGCTCCCATAGAACGGAGCAAAACAAAACTGGTTCGTGAGAAGCCGTCTTCTTCAGTTAGGATGAAAAGGGAGAGGAAAGATATAAAGGCCTCACCTCGTCCTCATCCTTTGTGTTTCCTTCTTACTTCACACTTTCTTTGCATTACGGGTAGACAATCATATGGTAAAGTGAGAGGTCGGTCGGAAATAGAGATCAAATAAAAAAAATGTGTCCGAGGGAAGATTTTTTTGTTTTTAGATACATTGTGTACTCAACAGAGGTGAAATTCACGCTCCATCAGGAGTGGTTGGTTTTATTGATGGCTATCTCAACAAATAAACATTCTATAAAGCGTTTTGGGGATGCTGTAAAGGTTGCCTTATGATTCCGTGACCATATCAAAATAGTGCACCCACAATCACGGGATTAATTAGTCAAACTAGTCAATTAATGCATCACTATGGCGCCGAGGCTATACGATGTGCTACTACATCCATGCGAATAACAAAAAAAAATAGAAACCAGCTGTTGTCACGTTTGTTGCTGCAATATCAACCCATTCAACCCATAAAACTGCAAGCCTTTCCTGCCTTAATCATACGTTTGCCGCGCTTTTTTTCCACCACTTTATGCCCTCATTGGTTCGATTTTAGCGACAGTAGATTCACCGGACCCCCCTGACATTGATGTTAGACATATGGGGAGCATGGCCACCGATTCCGGACCTGCGAGAGTTACCAGCGTGATGGAGAGAGCCGTCACAGTCCTATCATCCGGCTGGTACGTCAATTGTTTCTCCGACTGTGGCAACTGGCACAAATATTAAAGAAATTAGCAAAATAAATTTGCACAGGTCACTACTGGCATTACTGACTCTGAAGTTTGCATTTACGAGGATTAGTTCAGTCAAGCTTTACACACCCAAAGTGGTTATGGTTTTTTCTTTCAAGACCGATAAGAATCGCCTTGCTATATGACATGACAGCAAGCTACAAGTGGATGACTAAAAAGCTCAGAGAATTGGAAGCTGTCATTGCGGTAGACACAACGGTTTACATTGATTGCGTTGACATCTGACACAACAAAACAACTGACAAACAATGACAATACAACTGAGGTTTACCTGGGGAAAAAAGCGCTTATGTCGGTACCTGGAGTAGCAACATTTCATCATAACACTCACGAGTTTGTTAGGAGCGAAGCTGCAAGTTAGGCAAGTAGGCGGAATAAAGTTACCATCGAGAATCCCCTAAAATCCTCATCTTTGTGTGAAAGCCCAATAGTCTTGCCTAAACCCACACGTCACGCAGCTTTAGAGGGAGTAAATTAGACTGGAAAGAGAAGAAAAAAAGAGCCAATTCGCACATGAACTACGGAACGTTTAGGCTGTGATGGTCAAGCTTCCGGTGGTAGCGACCCTGCAGGAGGAGGAATTCACCAAACTTATTTGCATATTCTTTTATTCCAGATTTGGTGTTATCCAATGGTCTTACCCTAAAAATAGCACCATTAAACGATTCCGTCAATGACTTGTGGTGTCCTGAGATCCTTGCAGATGGTCCGAATAATCCAGGATACCTCAGAAATACGATAATTGCTATTTGACATGGGCAAAAAAGATTTAGTTGATATTGACCACTGCCTGATTGATTGAGTTCACCTTCAGCTCCATTTTACACCTCTCCAAACAATTCTGAATGGCGTTGTTCTTTTGTGAATTGAAGAGGGTAAATAATTCACGAGATTGTAAACACTATTTCGAGGGAATATTTGACCTTGAGTAGCTGCAAAGTGAACTTTTAAATTCACCTATAATTTCCCTAAAAAGATGTGAAATTATAAAAGAATTATCGCACACACCGAATCAAGGACATGAAAACCAGAAGAAACCCAAACCTTAGTGAGGGATTAAATCAAATTTATAAGTGGACCAAGGGTCCTCTCTCCAACTCCTGTTACATAAGGTAATTTTAAGGCATTAGCCGATTACCTTTAAGCTTTGCAAAAGACAAAGGCATTCCTAGAAGCTGGGCACTCTTTATAAAAATCATCAACGTTTGCTGCAGCGTCAAGTGGAGGTGTCATTCAAACAACCTATTTCTAAGTTCCACGAATGGATTATTGCGTTGCCAAATAAAACTAGACACACTCAAGAGGAGGGGTAAATAAAGGAACTTGAGCAACAAGGTCATACTCATCGCCAAGGCAGCAAGCCATACACCTATACGGGAAATAGCAAACAAAAAGAGGATACGTCTGCTTGAACATCAAATGCCCGATTCTTTGGAGCATTTACATACTTTCTTCCATGGTCAAATCGTCATGATTATTTCATCAATAAGTAATGGAGACATTTAAAATGGACCGCTCACCAGTGTAGACATTGCCAGCAATGCTGTCACCAACACTCTGACCCGAGAGGTCCATTTCTAGGCAGGTGTTGACGGAGGAGACTTTGGGATTGCGAGCAATCCGTTCAATGGAATTAGTCCACGCGATTTCATAGAGGGCTGGACAGGAAAAAAAAACAGAGGAGTAAGACGTGTGGGATAAGTCAGAGCTAGGTCTTTTAGGCACAAAAGAAACCTAGTAAACAAATAGAAGGCACGAGGACATTAGTTTGTGGAGAAGCAAATTATCTTTTGTCACCATCGAGAGCTTGCAGCGGTCCAACAGCAACAAATTGAGATGCAATAAGCAAAAAGCTCCTTACAAGGCTGAGATTATTCAAAGTTGAAAATGTCCCTTTTTCAAAAAGGAGAGGGAGACGTTGTCGACAGGGGCCAGGAAACGTACTCCGGTCGAATGCATAATTCTAAGAGAGGCAGACTTCCAGGGCTTTTGAACTGAGATGGAACAACTTAGTAAGGTGAATGATCAGACCGAGAAGACAGTAGTGGAAGCATTTAGGTGAATCACGATTGTTTAACCGAAGGATTGCGGATATAACAAATTCAGAAGTGGTATGCCTATACTATGGAGTCAAAAACGCTTGTGCAATCTTCGAGTTAGCTAGTTATCAAGTCGAGTCGGGCTTATTCCAAGCTGTAAAAATGAGCGGCAATTTTGTCGTGGAGAAATTAGAGAAGGTGTAGAGGGAAAACATACACACTACAAAAGTACCTCAAACATTCATTCCTCTGATAAAGACAAACATTACGGCAAAGATGCACCACCTTTATTAACACCGTCTCTTCCGCTAAACAATGAGGAAGTATGTGCCACCATCTAACACTGCAATAATACCTTGAGATCATCGTGGTAAGAACAGCTACTAGCATTGATTACCGAGTGCTCAAGTACTTTCTTCACATATTTAGCAGTTGGACAAGAAAGTCGTGGTTGAAGCCGAGCGGTGGGATTCCGACGAAATGCGACAAATTAACAGCTGGCGAGGCGTGAGCATCAAAGATCATCACTTGGCTGTTTATCACTCCTTCCACATGCGTTGTACAAATGTACCGTCCACCTCAGCTTGTTTGCTAACCAACTTGAGGACGGAAATTGGTTGCATTTCGCAGTCAGAAGAAAGCACACAGCACTGGCGAGCCCCACCTGATTCACCAACTAGTGATCAACGACCAACAGCCACCAATCATCACACCACGCCATGTCACACCTCAGCATTCGCCGCCTGCCTCCACCTCTGAGACACACGTCTGTCAAGCCCGGAAAGCCAGATGACCAATCCTCTTCTGTATGTGGACACGTGCGTAATTGCCTTCACGCATGTGTAATTTGCCTTGTTGAACTGCACAGCGCTGCAGACCCAATTATCCTCCACGAGGAAGTTTTTATTTCATGAGGCCCAAACAACCACGGCTTACATGCAACTACTGGGTACAACTGAAATGTGTGAGAGGAGAGCCTCTTCCCCTCTGTTAGCAACAACCACGACGGGTGAATCAGCTGGAAGAACATTGTTTTCTTACAAAATGGGAAAAAGCAAAAACTGTGCCGTGAGAAGACGCCCTTTGGTTAAGACGAGAGGGAGAAAGTAAAAATGGATATTGGCCTCACCTTATCCCCAACACACTTTTTGCAGCAGACATATGCACAGTAAAAAGTTAAGAAATAAAACCGCAATAAAAAACATAGCTGATCGGGAGTTGGTTCCTTGCTTCCAGGAATGGGATATTAAACAAAAATGGAATTCGTATCTAACTTGTTCCAAATTGGAAGATACTGATGAGTTGTAACGCTTACCATTTAAACGAATACAATAGGTGAAGTGACTTTCAACCATCGCTTACACTGTATTGCAAAAGAAACTCCACAAATCGTTAACAAGTCTACAAGTTAGGTGAATTTTCACTACCTCAGGCTACAATTTCATATGCTATCGAATCCAATAATGTATGCTACTTGTCACTTAGCTCACCGACAATAACTCGGAGATACGTGGTTCATACTTTCACCCTTCCCGATTTCAGAGATTACAGATTCAAAGAAGTGGGATCAATTTGGATGTGACTGACAAGGCAAGGTTTACACCCAATTTAATTTAAAAGATAACCACTTGAAATGACCTATATCGCATTTCTAAATCGTATTTGAGTATCTTGTCAGTGTTTGCCATTAAACTGCCCAGTGTTGTCTAAAATGCAACCCTTTTATCGCCTGCTAAATTAAATTAACTCGTGAAAACCAGTAGGTTTAGTACTTTCATTAAATAGACTTGTAAAAGGCATCCTTTTGCTTTCTCACTATTTTGGTGACAGCATTCACCAATTCACAATGCTTGACAGTGACGCATTCTTCGTAAGAGTAAAACCTTCACCAATGCTTTCCCTTACCTGTGAATGTTGGTATCTCACGAGAGGAGTGTGGCTCAGTGCAAGATGGAAGAAAAAAGCATTCGGGTATGAAAATGGATGAGATTTGAGAATGAAAACGGCGTAAATGATGCGAATGCCTTTACCCCCCCCCCCCCCCCCACCAGTTGAATGAGTTACCGAAAAGTGAGGCAGGATAATCAAAGTGATGAGATCTCATTTCGCGTGTAAAAAACAGACGAAAGACAACAGCCAACCTTAGCTTATTTTATTTATTAAGGTAATGAGGGACTGAAAGGTGGCTTGTAATGCCGTAATTGCTTGATTAACTTTCGGTTTTAGTAACGGACTGCTAGGGGAGCCCGCCATGTACCTCCGCCGGGCCAGAACGGCAGAACACAGAGCAACAAAACATTATTTGAAAACAAAGCATCCAAAAGTTACAACTTAAATAAAGGAAGGAAATGCGAGAAAATGGTCACATAAAATGAATCGGTGAATGCCAAGTAACTCAGTGAAGACCAAGCTACAGAAACACCCGAGATCGGTGCTCAGGATAAGATCCGAAAGCCGCGACTTTGCATTCGCTAACAAAAGTCAATTGGAGGTCAAAGTTTTATAAATCAGTCATACCATTGCAAAATCAGCCTTTTTGAAGTCAACTATTACGTGTACGTAAAGCCAAAGTATGTCAGGAGCTTTCTTTGGTGCTGGACAAAGAGGTGAATGATTGTAAACCATAAAACCATGGAGAAGGCATGAGTACCATGCCTTCTAGTGTAGCTTAAACAAAGAACAGAACCGTCAACGTTGATTAAATGTTTCCTGGGGAAACGCAGACAAAAAATTAGATATCAGGAATCCGTTGGCTGGACAAGAATGAAGGGTAAGTAAATAAAGGATAAATAATATTAGTGTATGCTTTATTTGGAGCTTAAATACAAAATAGCATTGTTACTCAGGCCGAATCCACGAAATAATTAACAATGCAGTGGATAAAGGTCAAAGTTCACATCAAAAAGAGAACAATTTATACAGGGTTAACCAAAGATTATAAAGCATATTTCAGATATGGCAATAGGTAAACCAAAGAAATAGCAATTAAAGCAAAAAGGTAAATCACTAAACTCCCGAAAATAATAAGGCATTACATAGCAGCATTTCAACCTTGCATAATGTACAATGAGTGCTCAATTTTAGTACATGAAGAGATTGACACAACACGTACCAACAAGTGGATTTTGGTCGATGAAGTCGTAAACCCGTTTGGTTCCAATGGCATAGCTAGCTGCTATTCGACCTTGGCGAACCTGCTTGTGCTTATTAGTGATGACGCCCAGTTCGACCAGATCAACGATACCATCAAAAATATTTTCCGCGTGAATGCCCAAATCCTTATGGTCACGCAGATGTGATGTCACTTCATGAGGTATGCTGCCAAATCCTAATTGAATGGTTGCACCATCTTCGATTAACTCCGATGCAATGTTTGAAGCTATGGTCTGGTCGATACTAGAAGGTGGGGGCGACGGTACCTCGAAAATAGGCTCAGAACACGGAACGAGAAAATCTATTTGACTCACGTGAATGGCAGAGTCACCGTATGTGACAGGCACTTGAGGGTTAACCTGGGCTGCACGAATTTTGGTAAAAATATGCATAGCAAACATGGGGACAACTACATACCAACTATTTTCTCAGCACTTTTTATGGCAGATCTCGCACTTCCAACAGTTGCACCAAGAGTACAAAAACCATGAATATCAGGCGGTGACACCATAATTAATGCGTACTTAAAGAAAACAAGTTTGTTCCGATAGAATAGCGGTAGGTCGGATAGAGCAATTGGGATATAGTCAGCAAGTCCCTCATTTATAGCATCACGACAATAGATGCCTAAGTACACTATTAAAATCTGTCAATAATATTACTCCCATAGGCCGTTGACATCCTAATTCGTCCACGAAATTCTTCCGCAAAATACGGAGTTGGGCCGAGAGGATAAAATTGAAACAGTTTCAAATTCCTCAGTTTTTTATCCAACACATGCGAAAGCAGCATAGTTTCAAGAGCTGCTGGTGTGGAGACAGATCCTTGCATGAATATATTTTGCCCTTGAGATAGTAAAAGGGAATCCGGGAAAATGTACCATCTTCCAATTCCGCAAATATTTCAGAGGCCGAAGTAGCCCACTTTGGATAATGGTCGGGCTTTGGAGCAGATGGCTCGTGAGTGTTAGTAAAATATCTTAGTGTAAGGGAAAACAATCGCCTGTAATTAAGATTCCCGAGCCAAGAGCTAGACGTTTTCGCTGCAAATGACATTTTTGGACAGCCCACTAAGGTCGTTGCGGACATGATACGAGGGTTGGTATAGCATAACATTTAGATAAAAATATTATTAAGCCTGATAAAATAGCCAGAAAGCGTTGATGAGAAGCGATTGTTTACCATTTTAAACGGGCAAAGTTATGACGAGACTAGATTTCAAAAATTGTTTGGGTTTATATAGCCCTAAACTAAAAGTAGAAGTTAAAAAAGCTGAAAGCAATATTAGACCAAATCAGTTATTGCATATTGTTAATAAGCGCTTGGCTTAATAGGTTTCTATTCAAATCTTGAATGGCAATCAATATAGCACCACCATAAATTAAAATCCACGACCAGAAGAATTTGGAAATTTTTATTTGAGTTCTAAAATATAGTGTAGACCTCCTCCTCTCTAATCCTTGTACTCTTAGAACATTCAGACTGACTTGGTTTTATCATATTTAATGCGTAAATTAAGTGGGAATGAGTGGGTACAATTTTGGGGGGGGGGGGTTGAAAGCCGAACCTCACCGGGTTGTCGGACGTTTGTGGAGCGAGACTCCTCGGTCTCCGCTTCCCGATTCCTAGCGTTCCTAGACAAGCCCGGTTGGTTTACTTTGGACATCTTTATTAAAGACGACAAGATGTATAGGGAAAATACAATATTCAAGAAGGAGGGGAGCCGCGGTCACTAGGTAAGGGAGAGGGCGATCCAGTTACCAGGCTCGAATTTCCTGCTTGCCTCCTCCCTGAAAGGCACATTAAAACAACATAAGTATTACACGTTGACCGCTCCTCATTCATAAGGTTGGATTTGTATTCCAACTTCTCTCTGAAAGACACAGTTTAAGTATCATAAGTATTGCATAGCCCCCTCATCCTTTCAGCACCTTTCCCGGTGCTACCATTTATGTGTTTTTTTGAAGTTACCATCCGGTGGTTTCCTGTCTTTCGTAAGCGCGTGACGCTAACGACTCCATTAGAATGGTGTTGCGATTGATCGGCTATTGCTACTGTTGTAACACACTGCTGTAGACAACTCTTGATGCTTATTCACTGCGAGCAACCACCTAATTGAGAATCAACGCTTGCACTGTGAAGTTTGGCGATCATAGTGTGGGGGACAAACTCCGTGTCTAAGCTAAACGACAACTCACCCTACCACTGTTGATGGCAGCAAGTCAAGGAAAGTACGCTTTGTCAGGTATGTCAGTCGCTTTGCGCGCTCCTCGTCACCTCCCATCTTTAGGCCACCATGAAAGAGCTCTTTGGTTAACACCTGTCCTTCCTCAAAGATGGTAGTTTAGACCAGTGCAAAGGGGAATTTCCCGAAGTTGGTACCAGGAATTATGATGATTTTACGGTGGTAGAGTAGAAGTACATGGAAAGTGGTTTTGTTTATAGGGATAGAATCAGAGGTTGAACTTAATGTGTGCGAGCCATTTATCGAGACCCGTACTCGTTGTGAAGGGAGGAAGGTCAGACAGCACACTCACCAATTTAATATTTTCACCATTTTGCCTATATACCTCCAGTTTCGGTATTTTTGTTGAAAAAGAAAGCTAGGAGGAGGACACATCCTGTATGAAATCAGGCAAAATAATCTGGGTTCATGAATAATGGAATTTCGTGAATCGCGTTGGATTAAAAATCTGGCTTCCGCAAGTTTAAGAGTAGTAATTAAAAGCTAAACTACCTGTCGGAAAACTAGATAAACCTAATTATAGCGGATTCCTCGCTTAACTCTTCCCGTCTGACCTTCATACTCCTCAAACGTAGAGACTGCTTCGGTGAGGGCATGTTTATTGGCAAGCGTTAAGGAGGATGCGTACAGGTCCTGTGTTCAGAACCCTCTGCTGTCTCGGAAAAATCTGGCGGCCCCTCAGCCACGACCTCGGTGTTCACTGGACGCTTTGCACCTAAAAGGTAAGCGTAAACAAAGCAAGTACCGCTTTGCCAACACAAATGTGTCGCGCAATGTTAACCACACCATTTACAGGTTTAGCGACTGTTATTTACAAATATACGTCACATCCAAATCTGTGGATCAAATAATTAGCAAAAGTTATGAGGAACATAAAGTACCCCATCGAAGCTTACTACAACGTCTAAAATGCGGAAAAGAGTAATGCAGAACGTTTAGACGGAAGCTTCACATGCTCTCTAAAAGTGATGAGCTAGTCACACTCAACGTTGAGCCATATTTCTTGGAATAAAATGGCACCAAATTTTTAAGATTTCACGGAATAAGCAAAATAGGCGCAATCGACAGACATATGATCTAACGTATATTTGGCAATACTAAGCAAGATCTCATAAAGTATGATAATGTTTCTACTATTTTTGCCCTTCAACCTCCAGCTTGGAACCCTTGATGGCGGAAAGTATCAAAATGAAGGCGATTTTACAAATAAGTAAATTTGTATGGGGTTTTTGAGTTCTTCGCCTTGGGGAATGACGACGTACCCTCAATCATGGGACTGGTATAATCTGACTGCTTGTCACCTAAATGGTGCATTCAAACAAACATGTGTGTTAGCACAATGCACCCCCATTGGGACACAGCAAACAGTAATTACACGGTTGCTTGTTCTCGAGCATACCTCCTACATAAACTCATCCAATTCAACTTTACCCAAATGAATTACTAACTACAGCTTCTCTTTCACAAAGCGGAAATGATGCACCCTATTCTTGTCCCAAAAGTCAAATTTTTGGTTCAATTTAACAGCACTACTGTAACTATACATTCATGCTTGTCAAGCCTACTCATCATGCACTTTTAAAAGTCTTCTCTGTTTAACAGCGTAGTTAACTGGCTTGATTTCAAATTTGTACGACTTACTGTAATGAGCAGAGAGCACACCAATCTAATTTTCTTCGCAAAGCAAAAGCAGTCTGTCACCTTTTAGGATTTATTAGCTGACCCTCTCCGGCCGGTGCTCGGACTGTTTGCATCAAACGGAAACCGACATTTCCAGCACAATACCGATGCTTGCATAATCCATGAAGGATTTAATGCTTGCTATCTACAAAACGTACGTGCTCATAACCCCGTGTAAGGAGGGCACACCTCGTGGCGCTACTGGCGGTCATTTGTCTTGGATCTCTATCTCTATCCGTAATACAGGCGTCTGCAAACACGCTTGGACGAAGTTGAGGAGGGAATTGATTGCGTGGTTTAAACTTAATCACCTACTTGCATGTGGGTCTGTGATACTCTGGTGCTGCAGTGGTGTTTCGCTTTCTGATGTGTGCACATGTGTGCATTAAGACACAACTTTCATTTTGCTAACTGAGAAACTTTTTCGGTCTTGTGACCACAATTTTAGCAAGGTTAAATTTCCAAGAGATCGTATGGCAACTCAAACAAATGTAGACATAAGACGGGGAGTCTGGGCATGTTCCATTCCCTAGATAATGTACGAATCCAATGCGAACCATCCACAATTTTAATAAAAGGATTTGAGATTTTATAGTGCGTATAGACATCTTGAAAAGCGGGAAGTGACGACCTCCCCAGTATCAAGAGCCTGGGATTTGAAGTTAATATAATGATGATGAACAACTGTGAAAGTGATATACAAAACTCAGAGGTGTTTCACTTTTGCGGTCAAAGTGGCCAAACTGATTAAAATTCCGCGCTAAATTATTTACTTCCTACCATCGAATAAGCCACTGTAATAAAATATCCATAGTAAGGAAACTCCCTGATCAACCTCGCAAAAAAATTGCACCAGACCTGTGTATATTTATTTTTCAGAAAAAATTAACATTATGGATGTGACGTTGTCTCTTAAATCTGGCAAGGATTGTTATTCCACCTTATTTGACTGGTTTCAAAAGTCTTCTATCAAGCAAACAAGTATCACTTTTTTGTGAATTATATCAAATGGAAGAATATTTTTCCGATTGCTCGCCTAAGCTAAAAAAGCAACAGGATTCAAAGACAAAGCTAGTTTTCCCTATTGGCAATTTTATTTCCGCTCCTACAAGGGAATAGCAAAAAAACAATGTGTTGTGTAACCTTTGATGGATGTATGGGTACCGCGAGCTCATGCACACTCGCCGTGACCGATGCTTTGGGAGCCCCAATTGAGCTGAAGGGCAGTTCGACTCAAGCCCTGCAATCCGGTTGATCCCGGATCAGCGGCTGACCAATGCGAAGTCACACACGGCCAACATAGGCCGTTGTGAAGTTTTGATTCATTTTTAGTGAATGGTGGTGCTTTTTTTTCCGTGAAATTCGAACGAAGACTGGTTCTAGTGCACAGTGAGCCCAAATTCCAGGCAAATCTGTTGAAAGCTTCGGAAATTTAATGGGATAAATTTCAGTACTATTTTACTTAGAAAAATATTTCAAACTGTAAAACAACGTACAAAGTGCAAGCGTAATAGGGCCAACCTCCGTTAGTAAAATAGAAGACAACAAATAACAAATGTACCACTTGAGGATAATACAACTGTTTTCCATTTTTGACGAATAAAATACACCTAAAAGAGGTAAGTTTTGATTTATGAAACGAAGACTTGTTACATAGTGCACAATTTATCCGGCTCTGTAATAGGTTTGGTAATAAGTTTAACAGCACCGAAGAAAAGATTTTATTTATCATGACACTTATATCACTATCTCAGTTAGCAGTGTGAAGATTTGGTGTCAAAGTGACTATGTGTCGGTGTGTCGGCATCCGATCCGCTCCATAAGTAGCGGAACTAAAGTACGCACTTCACGATGCTGCGCCCGCAATCGTGGCAGTAAGAGATAGATCAGACATCGGTAATATCTTCGTCAGCATGCCTCTTCTTATTCTTTCCTTCCTCCTGGACTTTCTCTTTTATCAGATCTTTTAAATCCTTCACATAATCATTCTTTCTCTCATTCTCCTTCCCATCCCCTTCCGTCTACATTCTTCATTTTTTCACACCCCTTTTCTGCCTCATTTCACTCACCTGATTCATTAAACCACTTGCGTTCCTTCTTCTCCTCCCATTCATTCGACTTTTAATGTGGCTACAGGACTGTGATCCCTTATTCCCTAAACGGGTCTACGTTTTCAGCTACTCATGGATTCTAGTCCTCTCTTGTGACTGACGTTTGACCAGCTGCCATTGGTCGGGTTCTCGTCTATTTCCTAGTACTATACCTTGGCACGTCTCTAAGTGATGTCTCAATTTGACATTGCGCTTCCTATTTCTAAGGTGAAATGGCATTTGGAATTGGATCATTCCCATGTTGATTTCAGTTTTCTCCAAGTGTTTGTCACTGATCAAGACTTATTTTAGTAAATTCCTTATTTGGACCTATATTTCCAGTATTTTAAATTAATTCGGGGTAAGCCAAATGTGTAACCATCTTTCGCTCATCATACAACTCTGAAATTATTTCGATACTGAAACATATTTCGAGATGGTAAAGTGTACAACGTAGGACGAAATATTTTCGTTGTATTTTCAATAGCAGCACTTTAAAATTATTTTCTGGTTTCCATAATGAATAGAACACGACATATTTGGGCAGCACCTCGAGTCTTCCCTGAATTTATAGTACCTCGCAGTAGTATGGGAGATGATGTGGTACTAATGTATGGAAGAGCTGGTTCGAAGGCCATGCCACAGAGCAGAAGTAGAACCTGCAGAGAATGAAGTGCCTGCATGGACACACTTGGACAATACATCGAATCATTGCATTTACACCAAAAACCGAAATAATAATTTACTAAGCACAGTACTCAGTAAACATGCCCCAGTCTACTTACTTTACGCTAAATATGCGATGCAGGATGAAAGTGAATTGCAAATACACAAACATCTTCTCACCTATAGCATCTAAATTTCATTTTGTGTCATTTTCTGTAAGCACTTGATTGTAAAGTGCCTTTTTAATCAGAGATTTGTATTGAGTTACGTGTACCATTCCGCCTTTAACTAAAATCCCCTAAAAAAATCACCTATTTCTTTTTTGGATGACTGCATACTGCCAACAGAAAGACAGCCGCTGATACTGCTTCGAGGAAGAGCAAATAATTAGGCCTGGTTTTTGGTGCCTAGACCGTTGAATACTTCATGATTCATTTTCTTTGGAAAATATATAGTAATGCTTTTTTTAGAGTTGCTGTTAATTATGTCTTTTAAGTGCTTGTTATGTTTTAATCTCTGTGGCAAATTAGTTAAATAAGGATGCTTACTAGTGATACTCGACCTCTTGATTGATCCATCACTTAAAGTACGTTGCGTTATTTTATTAGACAACCTATCTAAGCAACAAAATATTTTTTAAGCAGTAATTCCCTTTTCCTGAGGGGCTAAACGTTGATACCACTTACTTTTGTCTGTGCAATTGATTCATTCATTGCATTTTCTGTTTAAGCGCCATCAGTTTGAGCAATCAAGGTACCGGTAATTTACTGTGCCAAAATGAGCTTACAAGGGCGTCTAATCACAGTTAGCACGCCTTAACTTGCCCTGAATTTGACGAACAAGCCGCCTACTCCAAGCAAAAACAGACTTAAAAGTGGTATATTACCCGAAACGCTCCTCTTGCAACCTCGAATAAAGGGTTAGGTTAAATGAAAAAGTCATGATGTAATTGTTGGTTAAACCCATCCCAGTATATTACCTACACTCGCCAGATAAGCTGCAGATAACCATTAAACCAGTGCTATTGGCATTTCCATTTATTCTAGTAGTAGTATTTAGCCAAGTCTATGGCTTGACTACACCATAGAATCATTTGTTTAGATAACCTAACAGAAAATCAACGCAAAACCTACTAATCGCCGCTCCACAGCCTCCAATGACGTCGCAGAATCGTTTTTTAATTCACGTGAATGTGGTGGTTTCGGGCAGAAATAAAGTCGTGCAGAGGGAAGTGTGGTAGCCACGTTGGGACGGGGATGGGTCGAAAGAGGGAATTTTCAGTGGAGCAGTCACATATATATGTGAAAATGAATGCCAGTGGTTGAAGGCATGGGTTCGGTGCTGTGGTACAGATGAGCACGGGTACTACAAACGCCACCTCAAGTTCTTGTTGACACCGTCGTCGATGTGGCATCGTGAAGCTCATGCTTACTTTCGGATACTGAAGAGATGGAATGAAAGGAACGACGAAGAGACTGATGAACTCTGGTGCTTACTTAAATAGCTACACCATCTAATAAACTTATTTAGCGTAGTGACAAAAAATTTTCACTATCGCCTGGGATTGTGATATGGATGTCAAGTTTGACCGACAGCTATCAATTCCAAAAATGGTGTAGCGTCCCGAGACTCCCTGAAGACGAAAGAAGACAAAATACTCGGGCAGAATATATATTCAGTGCAGAGAAGGTGTCTGGGCTATTGGCATGGCCCAAAAGGCCAGCCCACCCAGCGAGGTACAAGGGGGCTAATTCGAAGTACAAAAGTCGCGCCTCACCAGAACCGAGGG